CTGCGCATCTTTGGGGGGCGGATCTGTGGTCCAGCCCTACATGCGTGGACTTAAGAGAAAAGCATTGTAAGATGAGCTAGAACAGCTGAAAAAGAAAAAGGAGATATTAAGGGTGGTGTGTGTCAGCCTTCATAAAGATGCTGATCAACTAGCTGAACAGGCAGAAAACAAACCGAGCACGCTCATGGCTCAAATGATAACAAAGTCTAATACTCTAAGGAAGAGATACAAGGACAAATGCAGTGAACTGACAAATGTTGAGTCAGAGCTGGAATCAAAAACTAGTGAGCTAAGGCACATGCATTAATCCTGTTGTGTGTGGAAAAAATGCTGTAGCATGTTCAATAACATGTAACATTCCATGCAACTATGTATTTGCTATGTTCCAGGCATACATTTCTTTGTTTATCTCAGGGTACATTATAATACACTGAGTTCTCAGAGGATATTTTTATGTACATATATATCCGTGGATTCTCACGTGTGTTTGCTTATGGCATTAAAAAGGTTAAAAATGGCATTAAAATGGCATTAAAAAGCATTAAATTTGTTTTGCTGATTTCTGCAGAAACCCTGAAAACAATTAGTATGTTTATGCACCTGCCACATTCAAACTCCTTGTAGTCTGGTTATCTGGTCATTTCACTTCTGTGAAAGCCACGGAGCTAAATGAAGAGGCATCTCTCTGTGGAACAAGTTCTGGATCAGCTCCTGCAGCCTGATACTCCTGGAGAAAATGAGGAGAGTGAAACATCTTCAGTGGACTTTGAGGTGGAGTCAGACCATTCTGTTTCCTTGACTTCTTCTCCTGACCTGTCAAGTGAAAGAGAAGGGAGGACAACGAATCCTGCTCCAGGATGGATTTCTAAAAATGGGCAAGTCTGGTTTCCTACTAACGCAGAAACTTCCCACTATGTTCCTGCTGCAAGATGTTTGAATCCTGGGCCAACACGTTACACCATCACACGTATTTACGATGTGGTATCCTCCTTTGATTTATTCTTTACTCCAGAAATGACTGAAATCATCGTCAACATGACAAATCTAAATGGAAGACGTGTGGTGAAGAACTGGTGGGATATTGATGACATCGCAGTAAGAGCATACATTGGGCTCCTGATTTTGGCTGGTGTGTACCAGTCCAAAGGGGAATCCACCTGCAGCCTTTGGGATGACCACTGTGGACGTGCAATCTTCCTGGCCACCATGAGTCACACCAAATTCAAGATGATCAACTCCACCCTCCGTTTGATGATGAGCTGAACAGGCCTTCCCGTCTCAGGCAGGACAAGCTGGCCCCTATCCGCTCGATTTGGGACATGTGGACCCATCGCCTCCAAATGCTTTTCAACACTGGGTTAGATGTGTGTGCTGATCAGTGTTGGGAGTAACGCCGTTTAAGTATAACGGCGTTTCTAACGGCGTTCTTTTATAGGTAACGGTATAATCTAATTAATTACTTTTCCCGCCGTTGCAACGCCGTTACCGTTACTGGGGACGGAAGGTTGTGCGTTACTATGTGCTTGTCGAACGTTGAGCAACAGTGTGAGGCTTTCTGACCGGCACACTTCAGCTGCAGCCAGGGAGAGAGAGGTGTCGGTAACACACTTACAAACACGATGATGATTGGCCGGGTGGGTGGAGACCCTCAGTGTTCTCACTGTCTCAGTCGCTGCTGCTGGAGACACAACAAAGCAATGACGGGAATAACTCCGTTTAAAATAACCGCGTTAATAAAAAATATTTCTTTCTGTAACGAGCAAACTAATTAATCACGTCTTCTTTTATCAAAACGTCGTTTCTGTTACTGATAAGGAAATGCGTGCATTAAGCAGCGCGGTGTGTTGAAGCTGTCATCAGCTGATCAGGAGCTAAAGAGGTAGATGTTTAAGAGCATCACGGCCCGTGAAGAACGAGGAAGACGTGATGAATAGTCTACGGCTGCAGACCCCCCGCAGATTTGTTGCTGCAGCAGCGAATCTGCGGGTCTGCAGCCGTGCCCTTCTTAGCGTGACAGCGGGACGTCCCGAAGGTCCGCTCACCTGTTCACCGCTCAGACGTCCTGATCTTCTACCTTCCTAGATCATCCAGCTGTAACCTGTTTCTGATCATGTCTTTAGTCCCGCTGTAACACTGATGCATCAGTCTCAGACGTCATGGAGCTCAGGTGTTATCAGAACTACCTGTGTGTGTTCACCACCCAGCTTCAGCTCTTCTGTGGTTGGGTCTGACCCAAGTTAGTAAATGTGAGTCCTCCATCAGGCTTGTGCCTCTTCTAGTGTCATTTTAAAGGATATTTATTTATTTAACCGTTACTAGATTAGCAGCAACAGAAATGCTGCTAAAAACACACAATTATGTGAAGCTGGAAAAATTAGAATATTGTGCAAAATTACATTTATTTCTGTAATTTAACTAGACCGAGAGACCATTTAAAGGCTCGGGAACCTTTACAGGTGTTTCTATTTGCAATTTTAAATTTTAGCTGATTGGGGTCTTGTTAAATATCACACAGTGACCTTTTAATAGTCTAGATTAGTGTAATGTTCCTGTTAGTAGTTCCTCCTGTTAAGTGCTTATTTGTTTAAATTATTCAGGTTTATATAAAACATTTGGACATACATTTTATTATGTTCAGTCATTGGTCATTTATATTTTACTATTGTAGTAATTCTCAAGTGGTGCTCGCTGCAGAACCACAAAGGCGGAGCTGCACCAGAAGGTGGAGCTGCACCAGAGTCAGCCCCGCCCATTCCAGAATCAGCCCCGCCCATTCTATCGGAGTCAGTCCAATTCCTTCCAGTTGTCAGACTTGATAGCATTCTGGAACCAAAGAGGGTGTTATAGCTAAAAAATGCAAGATTGAGGAGGGAGTTGAGAAGTGAATTGAACAGTTTTTGTAAAGGTTCCATATAATTAAAAATCTAACTTTTGGAACTTTTAATCATGTTATATTGTCATTTCCTCATAAGAAACACACCAAAGCCATTTTTGGCCTCATTCATGCATTTTCTTCCCATCTCAGCTTCAATTTGGTCTCCTCCCCCAAAGCGGGTCTGGTCTTGGTTCTCAAATCTGGATATTCTGTGAATTTTCTGACAAATTATTTCTGAAATGACTTCTACTGAGACACCGCCAGAAAAATCATACATCCCATCTACAAAGACACACCAAATAACATAATAAAATGTAACGCCACCTAATTATTATCAAATGTGGTGGTGTAGTGGTGATGGTGTCAGGTTGACATGCAGTTTTGCGCAGGTTCGCCTCCCAGCAGTGGAAATATCCTATAATCTCTTTTCCTCATTTCTAGCTACACTTGCCAGTACTATGTTTACAACAATTTATTGGTATGCCGTTTAACATATAATGACTAATGTGTTTTTTTTTATTTATTCATTCGTTTATTTAGCCAGTGTGAGTCCATCTGTGAGCAGAGTTTCAACTAAAATGTTTAGGAACGACCAAATTCAAAGAACTTGTAGAGACATAAATATTTTGCTGAAAATGAACATTACAACTAAAATATGAACAAATTAAATGTTTCAGCTGGCTGAATAGATTGTTGCCGACCCCACCGAGAATCGAACCAGCATCAGCTGAGGGGAAAGCAAAACGTAAGTCAGACGATCTTGCCATTGGACTACTAGAACCCACAGGGAGGGGGTACATGCTGTTGTACAGGACTTTTGTTAGAGCGGCTGTGGGCAGATATTCGCTACGAGAAACCTTTTTATTTCGGGATATATTCAGACTTTGTCATGTAGCAAGTTATATTTATCTTGTTTAATTGGAGCACAGAACATAGCATTAACGACTGTAAACTAGTAACAGCCGTAATTCATGTGGGTCAGGTCAGTTTGCGATAAAGTTGAAAACAAAAACGGAAGTCAGTGGGCTAGGCTGAGTTTGCATGAATGGGCGGGGTTGACTCTGGTGCAGCTCCACCTTATGGTGCAGCTCCGCCTTTGTAGTTCTGCAGCGAGCACCCTCTCGTAATTCTTGCATTCTTTAATGAAAAAAGTAACTAAGTAGTTACTTTAGTTGGTAATTAGTTACTTTTATGATCTTGTAACTCAGTTAGTAACTGAATTACTTATTTGACAAAGTAATCAGTAACTATAACTAATTACTTTTTTAAAGTAACGTTCCCAACACTGGTGCTGATGAGCAGCTTGTCCCTTTCAGAGGCAGGTGCAAGTTTCGCCAACATATGCCAAGTAAACCAGTAAAGTACGGATTGAAACTCTGGGTCACTGCTGATGTTGCCACTTCCTATGCCTGCAAGTGTCAGGTTAACACAGGGAAAGCTGCTGGTGAGGCTGCAGAGGTCGGCCAGGGAAAACGTGTCATTTTGGAGATGACCGAAGAGCTCCAAGGAGTCACTTCACATGCATGCATTCACACTTCTGCCCTTTCATATCAAACTGAACTACAAAGAGTTTGGATGTACCTGAGCTCCAGCCAGGTGCATAAACATATTGTTTTTGTTTTCTACCCTTTGATGTTCAGTAGGAGAGTGAAACTGTGTTTTGTTTACATGCTGAGCTTCTGACTTCAATAAAAACAGCAGAAGATCTATAGAAATGTGTAAACTTTCTCGCCTGGGCAACATATGAAGAAATGACTGAATTTGGTGGTGAACAGTAAAAATCATAAATTTGACTACTTTTGTCCAAAATGAAACCATTACATCACAGAAAGCATGAATATTTGCTGCAGATAATGCAGGATCAAAAACTGTGGTTTGCATTGAAGTCAATGGGACGTTTTTGTCCATAACAGGCACAAGAGGGTGGTAAATTTTAAATCTGCTGCTACACAAAAACTAAAAAAGCATAAAATGTGATATTTTGCTAGACTCTTGACATATCCAAGGCTAATTCCATGCTGTCGTTCTTTTTAAAACACAGAAACTGTTTCGTTACCTGTTTTTTTTTTTAGAAAATAACTCGGTGCTGGGTTTTTTTTTCTTTTTTTTTCTTCATAAATTACATCAATGACTTTTGAGTATTCCAACTGGCATTTCAGGGGTTAAAAGCCTCAAAATGATTGAATTTTTTTTATGTTTGAGCAGGGCTGAAGTTGTTCAACAGATCTATGAAAAAAAAAGTAAAAAAAAAAACATTAATGTATACATTTTTTATAGCCACTTTTACAAGCGGATGTTTTTGTCCTCTAATGACTCTTGTATGAAAATTAAAGTGAAGCCTGAGGGTTAAGGCTCATATGATTTATAGAGGCTCAAAGTTCAGTTTCCAGTTGTAAATACATTTCATTCTACTGTCAGTTTAAAGAAATAATACAACTGTTATATGTGTGAAAACACAGTTACAGCTGTCTGTAATTCACATAATATGTTTCTGTGTTTCCTACAGATTTTCAACAGGTGGTTCTGGTTAAAGAAGAAGCTTCAGAAGAACAGAGTGCTCGTGTCAACCATCAGCACCTAGATTTTCTCCACAAAAAGGAGGAACAGGAGAAACTCTGGTCTAGTATGGAGGGAGAACATCTCCATTTGAATAAGGAGACTGATGCTGCCAGGTTTCAATCCTTTAGCCATAAAACACATTTAAACAAACACACGAGAGTCCAGACAAAGCAGAAACATTTTGCCTGTGAGCACTGTGGACAAAGGTTTCACCAAAAGACTAATTTAACCACACACATGAGCGTCCACACAGGAGAGAAGCCCTTTTCTTGTGAGCTCTGTGGAACGAGATTTAGCCAAAAGACAAATTTAAACACACACATGAGAGTCCACACAGGAGAGAAGCCCTTTCCTTGTGAGCTCTGTGGAACGAGATTTAGCCAAAAGACAAATTTAAACAGTCACATGAGAGTCCACACAGGAGAGAAGCCCTTTCCTTGTGAGCTCTGTGGAACGAGATTTAGCCGTCAGACAACTTTAAACAGTCACATGAAAGTCCACACAGGAGAGAAGCCTTTCGCCTGTGAGCTCTGTGGTAATACATTTAGTGAAAAGGGAAATTTAATCACACACATGAGCGTCCACACAGGAGAGAAGCCCTTTCCTTGTGAGCTCTGTGGAACGAGATTTAGCCAAAAGACAAATTTAAACAGTCACATGAGAGTCCACACAGGAGAGAAGCCTTTCGCCTGTGAGCTCTGTGGAACGAGATTTAGCCGTCAGACAACTTTAAACAGTCACATGAAAGTCCACACAGGAGAGAAGCCTTTCGCCTGTGAGCTCTGTGGTAATAGATTTAGTGAAAAGGGAAATTTAAACAAACACTTTAGAGTCCACACTGGAGAGAAGCCTTTCGCCTGTGAGCTCTGTGGTAATACATTTAGTGAGAATGGAAATTTAAACAAACACATGAGAGTCCACACAGGAGAGAAGCCCTTTCCTTGTGAGCTCTGTGGAACGAGATTTAGCCGTCAGATAACTTTAAACAGTCACATGAGAGTCCACACAGGACAGAAATCTTTTGTATGTGAGCTCTGTGGAACGAGATTTAGCCGAAAGACAAACTTAACCACACACATGAAAGTCCACACAGGAGATAAGCCCTTTCCTTGTGAGCTCTGTGGAACGAGATTCAGCCAAAAGTCAGCTTTAAACACACACATGAGAGTCCACACAGGAGATAAGCCCTTTCCTTGTGAGCTCTGTGGAACGAGATTTAGCCAAAAGACACTCGGTGCTGGTTTTTTTTTTCTTTTTTTTTCTTCATAAATTACATCAATGACTTTTGAGTATTCCAACTGGCATTTCAGGGGTTAAAAGCCTCAAAATGATTGAATTTTTTTTATGTTTGAGCAGGGCTGAAGTTGTTCAACAGATCTATGAAAAAAAAAGTAAAAAAAAAAACATTAATGTATACATTTTTTATAGCCACTTTTACAAGCGGATGTTTTTGTCCTCTAATGACTCTTGTATGAAAATTAAAGTGAAGCCTGAGGGTTAAGGCTCATATGATTTATAGAGGCTCAAAGTTCAGTTTCCAGTTGTAAATACATTTCATTCTACTGTCAGTTTAAAGAAATAATACAACTGTTATATGTGTGAAAACACAGTTACAGCTGTCTGTAATTCACATAATATGTTTCTGTGTTTCCTACAGATTTTCAACAGGTGGTTCTGGTTAAAGAAGAAGCTTCAGAAGAACAGAGTGCTCGTGTCAACCATCAGCACCTAGATTTTCTCCACAAAAAGGAGGAACAGGAGAAACTCTGGTCTAGTATGGAGGGAGAACATCTCCATTTGAATAAGGAGACTGATGCTGCCAGGTTTCAATCCTTTAGCCATAAAACACATTTAAACAAACACACGAGAGTCCAGACAAAGCAGAAACATTTTGCCTGTGAGCACTGTGGACAAAGGTTTCACCAAAAGACTAATTTAACCACACACATGAGCGTCCACACAGGAGAGAAGCCCTTTTCTTGTGAGCTCTGTGGAACGAGATTTAGCCAAAAGACAAATTTAAACACACACATGAGAGTCCACACAGGAGAGAAGCCCTTTCCTTGTGAGCTCTGTGGAACGAGATTTAGCCAAAAGACAAATTTAAACAGTCACATGAGAGTCCACACAGGAGAGAAGCCCTTTCCTTGTGAGCTCTGTGGAACGAGATTTAGCCGTCAGACAACTTTAAACAGTCACATGAAAGTCCACACAGGAGAGAAGCCTTTCGCCTGTGAGCTCTGTGGTAATACATTTAGTGAAAAGGGAAATTTAATCACACACATGAGCGTCCACACAGGAGAGAAGCCCTTTCCTTGTGAGCTCTGTGGAACGAGATTTAGCCAAAAGACAAATTTAAACAGTCACATGAGAGTCCACACAGGAGAGAAGCCTTTCGCCTGTGAGCTCTGTGGAACGAGATTTAGCCGTCAGACAACTTTAAACAGTCACATGAAAGTCCACACAGGAGAGAAGCCTTTCGCCTGTGAGCTCTGTGGTAATAGATTTAGTGAAAAGGGAAATTTAAACAAACACTTTAGAGTCCACACTGGAGAGAAGCCTTTCGCCTGTGAGCTCTGTGGTAATACATTTAGTGAGAATGGAAATTTAAACAAACACATGAGAGTCCACACAGGAGAGAAGCCCTTTCCTTGTGAGCTCTGTGGAACGAGATTTAGCCGTCAGATAACTTTAAACAGTCACATGAGAGTCCACACAGGACAGAAATCTTTTGTATGTGAGCTCTGTGGAACGAGATTTAGCCGAAAGACAAACTTAACCACACACATGAAAGTCCACACAGGAGATAAGCCCTTTCCTTGTGAGCTCTGTGGAACGAGATTCAGCCAAAAGTCAGCTTTAAACACACACATGAGAGTCCACACAGGAGATGAGCCCTTTCCTTGTGAGCTCTGTGGAACGAGATTTAGCCAAAAGACAAACTTAATCACACACATGAGAGTCCACACAGGAGTTAAGCCCTTTCCTTGTGAGCTCTGTGTAAAAAGATTTAGCCGAAAGTCCCATTTACACAGTCACATGAGAGTCCACACTGGCTTTTCGCCTGTGAGTTCGGTGGAAAAGATTTACCCAAAAGATCAGTTTAAACAGTCACAAAAGAGTCCATAAAGGACAGAAGCCTTTCTCTTGTGAGCTCTGTGGACGAAGATTTAGCTGAAAGAAAACTTTAAACAATCATCTAAGCATCCACTAGGGCTGAACGATCTATTGAAGGGGTCTCCAACGTTTTTTGGCCCGTGAGCTACTTTTACACAATGAAGTACAGCAGAGTTACTGCCATATGATTTATTTACATTGATACTTTCCATGTGTGAATGTGCTTATGTTAAACATGCTATACTTACTATATTAACATGCATTGTACTCACAAGTCGATTTCTCTGTATTTCAGTACATCAGTATATATATTTTAAAAGTATAAGTAAACCAGTGACATTCTGAAAACCAAATTAAACAAAACATATTTAGTTTTTTTAAACTAATCGGATACTTTCAGATAATGAATAACAAATCTACTTCATGTGAATGATTTGGTAATTTTTTTAGAAGTTAGTGACATAACTTTTTAAGCACACAGGAACAGCTAACCTGTAAAACTGATGACATGTTAAATAAAATACAAGCTAAATGTGATGAAAACACAAAAGTCTAAATAGTTAGAATTGAAGTAAAAAATGTAAAATCAATAATAAGACTTGTTCCTGCTCTCCTGATGTACTGAATAATTTTTATGGGTTTTTTTTTTGGTCATGAAACTTAAGTTTTGCTGCGTTTATTGCTGATAATATGAAGGTTGGAGGTTTATCCTTTTTTCTGCATCTTGTAGGTTTTTTTCTCCGCACGTCTCTAAATAAAGTAAAATTTTCTAGTGCAGAGAGGAGACAACCCATAGAAGCACTGATTTGATCTCATTTCAGAGAAAAATATAACAGGTTAGATGCACCTAATAAATAAAATTATAACAAACTCAGGAATCTGTTTCTTTGCTTCACTGTTCTGGTGCTGAAAACATCACTAATGCGGATCAAAGGAGATACACAGATGAATGCACCTCTTATTTATTATTTGGAAACTACATTTACTGCAGCTGGCAGAGGCAGAGATTTTTTCTATTGATACACGAATTTACAGAATCATTTTAAATTTTAATAGGGGAAGACTGCAGGAGGGAGCGGTAAAATACAGGGGGTCCCCAGCAAAAACAAGAAACGTTACGAGCCTGATGAAACCCGCTGGTTTTCAATCAGGCAGTCACGGGGCAGCTCCAACGACCCAGTGGCTGTGCTGGGTCAATGTTATCGAGCTCAGTCCGGCTCGGCCGTGAACGAGCTGAGGCGACGTCGTGCTCTGCTTGAAGAGGTGTTATTTTCCCGCTTCAGAGGAAGCATTCAACATGTTTTTACGCTTTCTCCGAGACATGTCACGTCGCTAAGTTGTTAGCGCCGCGCGCTAACACGTCAATCGTGCAGCGTAGCCTGCTGGAGGTTTTAAGGGTTCAGATGAAACACCCGACCTCTCAGGCTGCTCACACATCGATCTTAAGTTGTCGCTGTTGCACTCACGCCGTAATACAGTATTAGATGCGGTTAAAGTCAGACATGAAAAAATAAATAAATTTTACATGAATAAGTGATGCTTATCCTGGTGGGGAGAGGAAACCCTGTCAAGATCGTCAACACTCGTTTATCTTAATGCTATTGAAACATGTAAACCAAAAAGCATTATATCCACTGCTACCTTTATGCTGTAACTTCACCCTGCCCTGCCTGCTCCTCCTTGCTGCCTGCCGGCTGTGATCACAAGTAACAACATAGTAGTTCCCGCTGCTTCCTCGTGAAACGGCTCAAACAATATAAAAATCAAAACTTGGGATCTTGTAGGCGTGGCGGTGGGATTTCAGCCGTGGCGGCCCTATGTAAGGGAAACCCTGGTGTAGTTATTATGTAAAGCAGTATATACTAGGAATGATTAATAAAAATAAAAACTAGAATTGAACCTGAGTTACATGGTAATAACAATTTAAGAACTCTGAAACAATAATACAGTAACTTACTAATTAATTACCATGTAAGTACGAAGTAGATGACTCTAAAAGAAAGCGCTACCAATAATATTACTTAATATGCTTTTATGTTTGTGTGCCATGTTCTGTGTCAATATTCTTTGATTTTATTTTACACAACATGATGTGACATTTTAACTATTTCATTTCACTTGTGATTGTTTTAACTATGTGAAGCACATTGGGCTACCGTTTTGTGTATGAAATGGGCTATATAATAAACTTGACTTGAGAGAGAGTTCACAATCATGTTTTGTTACTAAATGAGACACTCAGCTGAACCTGGGGGAAAATATATGATGAATCTAAATCACAGGAGATGTCCAGAGTTTTTAAAGCCTGTGTTCATCATGTTGTGGGGACCACAATGAGGCTACACTCACACCCAGTTCTTGGTACCACAGACGTATATATGTAACCTAGGCAACGCTGGAGCTCTGTCGCTCCAGCGTCACGCGGAGATTCACAACGACACAGGTGGAGAGCGAGGGTGCAAAACCAGAGGGACAGAGACACCAGAGAGCAGAAGTTTGTCTGCAACCTCTTTTATTAACTAAATAAAAGCCCTCGTCTAAAAATATACAACTAAAACATTTGAGTCCATAACAGCAGTTCAAAACGATCTTCAAAAAGACCCCAAAAGATAGTTGGGCTCCTCCCAGATCCACAATGTCACGCGGAGGGAATTTCCAGGATGGGAAAGGTGGCGTCCCGGCTTCAGCGTCCAACTCCAACAGTCTCTGGTCTCGCTCTCAGCAGACACTCGTCTCCGGCGTGATCTCCCGGTGGCTCTCGCCGCTTCTCCCTGACAAGGACAGAACACTGGGGCAGAACTTTTGTCTGTGACGCAGTGCAATCTCTTTCTCGTAGGATCGGCCCATACGGCGCGTCACCCAGCATACAACAGAGGAAGCCGTTTACTCATGGATGCAGGCAGAGGTCCAACCTCTGCCCTGCTGTCATTCAAAGGCGTTGCTCCCACTCGTTGTTGCTGTACGCCAGGGATGAACCGGTCCTCCTGCGATCCAACGCGTTCTGTGCTACGTCCACCTATATTAGTCCAGTCCCTCTGCCTTCTTGTTTCTTTGGTCTCTTTTTCCTCTCCCCTCCCACAGTTCTGCAGCTTCTTCCCTTTATCAGCCTGCTAACTATGCGCACCTGGTGCGCTCTCCCAGTCACGCCCACCTCTTCAGGTGACTGTCATGTCAACAGTGGCAAAACAATCTAAACTAAACAAGGCACATAAAACCAACAACACACGACAAAATCATGCAATAACAAAACTGTTAAGAAATTCCAACAATTAATAAAAGAATTTAAAGCAACAGAAAAACACACATTCCACTGTGTGACATCCCCCCACATTTTAACTGTGACAGTCCCTGATACATCACTCCAGTGGCCGATAACGTGCTGGTGGCTGACCAAGGTTAGACCTTGCGGAACGCAGAAGTTCTGGCAGTCCTTCAGGCTGCAAAATAGGCACGTTGGGCATAACACAATAGAATGGAGGCTCAATTACCGTCTCAACCCCTGGGCCTACCTCATCTGTCGGTTGGATACTGTCCACTGCTGGGGTGTTGCATAACTTTAATGCATTTCGGTGAAGGACTCTCTCTCTTCCCCCTTTCTCTGGCTGCACTTTATACACCACACCTGTATCCCCGACTCTTTCCACTACAACGTGGTTCTGAGGCCCAACCTGGGTGCAACTTTCCTTGCCCCTGCCTGTTCCTGTCCCTAATCCAAACCCTCTCTCCTGGTGCTAATGGCAGAGCCTGTGCCCTTTTGTCATAGACCTTCTTGTTTTGGTTGACAGCAGCCGCCATATTTTTCCTTGCTGTTTCATAAGCAAAAGACAATTTTTGGTGGTGGTCTCTAACCCATCCTCCAAGATCTATACAAAGTGATCCCTGTTCCACTCCTAGGTTAACATCCACTGGCTGTCTCAAATGCCGCCCAAACATTAGGTATGATGGAGCGTACCCTGTGGCGCTATGAACTGTGTTATTGTATGCCTGCAACAGCTCGGGGAGGAGATCTGGCCACCTCTGCTGTCTCTCTCTCTCAAGTGAACGCAACATATGCAGTAGTGTCTGGTTCAGTCGTTCAACCCCTCCATTTCCAGCAGGATGATATGGTGTGGTTTTACTCTTTGGGATGCCATAACACCTGCATAACTGATACATTAGTGCAGACTCAAAACTAGCCCCTCTATCTGAATGTAGCCTGGCAGGACAGCCAAAAGGCTGGATCACGAGTCCATAGGGCATGTACTGTCGTCTGTGCGGTCTGATCTTTAGTGGGAACTGCCCAAGCATAGTGTGTGAAGAGATCAGTCATGACCAAAATGTTCAGATATCGGTCTGTGGGCCTCCCTAATGTGAGGTAGTCCAGGGCCACAACCTCCAGAGGATACGAGACCACAATATGCTTTAGTGGGGCTCTAGGCTGATCTCTATTTCGCAGGCTACAGGCAGCACAACCTAGATGGAACCCACGCACCTCATTCTCCATGCCGGGCCAGAAAAAGAAACGACGTATTCTGGACAGCGTCTTCTCCACACCTGCATGTGCAGCCGCCTCATGGTATTTCCTCCACACCTCTTCCCGCTTTCCTACAGGGCAGAGGACTTGGAACAATGTTTCATTGGTGTTGGTGTCCATTACCTCCCTACAGAGCACTTCCCCACGAAGCCGAAGTCTTCTCCACTGGTGCAACCACTTCTGCACAGACTTGGGCAGCGTTCTTCTCACCCCCGCATCAGGGAGTGTCCCCTGAACCACGTACTGCTTCAGTATTTGTAGTTCCCCATCTTGTTCTTGAGCGTCCTTCCAGTCATCCATCTGTGGCAAAGGCTCCTGTCGCTCACTTAAGAGGGCGTTACAGGTGGTTGCACGGGCTGCTTGGCAATCTGCTGGAAACCTGGAAAGGGCATCAGCATTAGTATTTTCTTTTCCCGCCCTGTACTTGATTTCAAAATCAAAGGAAGCCAGTTGTGCCACCCAACGTTGTTCTGCTGCCCCCAGTCTGGCAGTATGGATGTGGGCAACTGGATTGTTATCTGTATACGCCACAAACTTTGCCCCTGTCAAATAGTCCTTGAACTTCTCTGCAATTGCCCATTTTAGGGCTAAAAGTTCCAATTTGAACGAGCTGTAGTTGGCGTCATTCCGCTCGGTGGGGTGTAGACTCCTACTGGCATATGCAACCACATGTTCCTTGCCGTCTCGTACCTGGGCTAACACAGCACCCAAACCTTGGTTACTAGCATCAATGTAAAGTACAAACGGCTTGGAGAAATCAGCATAGGCCAAAATGTGGGGGGGGGGGGGGGGGTCTCACGAGGGCAGCCTTCAAAATTTCGAATGCTTCTTGACATTTGGCGGACCACTGAATCTGTGTGTCTGATCTTTTATAGCAAGGACACCCTATTAGAAGGGCATGCAGAGGCCTAAAAAGGCTCTGACCTGACGGGTGGTAGATGGAACAGGCCAGTCCTGGACAGCCTGGATTTTCTCGGGATCTGGTCTCACCCCATGTTGATCAACAAGATGCCCGAGGTACTTTACCTGCCGCTGAAGCAGCTTACATTTGTCCAACCTCAGTCTCAGCCCATGTTGCCACAGTTTCCGCAGAACACTCTCCAACTGTTGCAGGTGAGTAGATGATTATATCATCTAAATAAACCAACACTGATTCTGACAGGTGGCTGTTTAAACACCGCTGCATCAACCGTTGGAACGTGGCGGGGGCGTTACAAAGCCCAAAAGGCATGCGATCGAACTCAAACAAACCCAGAGGGGTGGTAAAAGCAGTTTTCTCACGATCCCGAGGGTCCATTTCTACTTGCCAGTATCCGCTGGCAAGATCCAACGTCGAAAACCACTCTGCTCTGGTCAAACATGTCAGGGTCTCCTCAATTCGTGGCAGTGGGAAGGCATCTTTGTGAGTTACTGCATTAAGTTTTCTATAATCAACACAGAACCGCCAGCTACCATCCTTCTTCCTCACCAACACGATCGGGGCTGCCCAGGGACTACTACTCTCCCGAATGACCCCCTTATCCAACACATCGGTGAGTAGTGTCTTAATCTCCTTGTACATCAGTGGTGGTAATGGACGGTACTTCTGTTTAATAGGTGGCGTGTCACCTGTGTGGATCTGGAGACGAACCAGATCTATTTTTCCATAGTCCTCCTCATCCACAGCAAACACTTTCCGCCATCTCTGAAGCAGGGCCTTCAGCTCTGCTTTCTGCTGTGGGGTCAAATCCATACAATTGGTTAATTGGCTCACCTCCTCATAAGGGATTGCAGGCTCCTCTGGTCCAGCTGCCTCCACCACACCCACCTCCACCACGCCATCAGATCCCATCATCAGACTAAGGTCATTGTCCCTCTGTACATCAGAATCCTCCACCTGGTACAGCTGACCCAGCTTCTGGTAGCGACCTATAAGGACTTCATGCGGGTGGGGGTTACAAAGTCTGATAGGAAGTCTTCCTTCTTTAACTACAGCTAGAGTTCTGGCTATTCCCCAGGGTTTATCCCCAGGTAGGGTGTCCACCAACACCAAATGTTCTGCTCCGCCCCTGCCTCCGCATGCTCAGCCCCAGACTGTAACTTCACAATTTGGGGGCACCCTAACTCCTCTGCGGCTGGCAGGCCAGACATAACCCAGAAATCCATCAGTTCGAGAAGCAACAGTCTCTCGGCAGATAGCAAAAGCATCCTTCCAGGCTCTGTAAGCTTGGAACGTCTGGGGAAGAGAAGCAGACTTGCCTTTGGTGAAGACAACATCCCAACATGCACTGATCACATTCATCTCTACAATGACAGGGTGTGTGGAGCAATCATTTTTCACAATTACAATCCCTTTTCCTGGTATTTTAACACCTTCCACTTCGAAATCCATAACAGCATAACCAGTATATGGTATTTCGAGCCCATTGGCTGCTTTTAAGGCAAATACTAGGGGTGTGTCAGTTTTATTCACTTCTGGAAAATGAGTGTCCATCACCTGTTGTTGCACCAATGTGACCTGAGAGCCAGTATCCAACAGTGCAGTCATCTTAACTCCTCCCATGCACACTTCTGTGAGGGGACACTGTCCAATGAAAGATGTGGTGGCCCTTTGTTTACTGGATATACACATTGTCCCCACCACCTGGGCCTCAGTAACAGGGTTACTTAGTTTAACGGCGGTGGTTGGTCCAGAGTGGTTTGGCAAAACCGGGCAATATGTCCAGCTTGCTTACAGCGATGACATATGGGCTCCCCATCCCATGTCCAGCTATTGGTGTAACCGCAGCGCTTCGGCTTAAATCTTGGTTTATTAGGAACTGGACTTGTCTGACTTTGCTGCGGCAGGCGAGGTTTAATCTCATCAAAAACATCTCTTACGATTTCTCTCATTTGACTCTTTACATCGTCCAGAATTTCTTTGTTAAACTTCTCCTTCCAGTCTGGTTCACACAATGGTTTATTCCTTACGGACTCACCCACTGTGAAGCAAGTAGTTTGCAGTCCTTGGCGTCCCAGCTGTTCCTCTTCTAACAGTAAAGCCTCCCGATGGACAGTGGCAAAGTCATCTTCAGGGTGGTGCCGCACATAAGCTCGCAGAGTCTGTGACAGTGGGCCTTCACACAAACCCAACAGCATCTGTTCCTGCAAGCTCTCCTCAGCAGGTGCGTGGTCAGGGCTGCGCCGCTGTAGCCTGCAATATAGCTCCCTTAATCTTAAGGCGAATGCTTTCACCGACTCATTTGGTTTCTGAATACAACTGAAAAACTGTGACCTTAACACTGCCACAGGAGTGTAACGGAGTTGAAGTGATGTAACTATCTATAGTTGTATTTTAATACACTGTAAGTAGTTCACTTTTATAAACAGAAGAATAGGCTGTTTTTATCATCAGGGAGTTTAGTTAAACACTCTGTATTGACTTTGAGACAAGAAAAGAGAGAGAGATGGGATCGTTTGAGAATCTTTAATTTTGTAATTATAAATTCTAAACAATCTACCAGGACGAACTCTGTGATGGATGAAAATGGATTTGGATGTTGTGTTGGTGCGTGTGTGTGTGTGTGTTTGGTTCAGACTCTTTAGGATGACGTCATTGAATCTGGTAGTCTTTGTTATGACTAGATATCACGAGGCTTATAAAGTGATGACATGAGCCGCTATTTTGCCGTGTACGTACCCAGTGGGGGCCTCCCAGGTAGATCAGGAAATGCCAGGTCCAAGAACCTCGGATGTACGCTGGAGCTGTTGGTGCAGCGGTCACAACGTCTCAAAGCCCGTCTGGAGGGTCGACCCCGGTACCGTTCGGCAGCGTCAGCAGTTGCTCTTATTTTGAAAGGACGTCGTCTGGTTGTTAAACGACGAAAATCTCCAACTTCACAGTTCTTAGTTTAAAGACAAACACATCTGGCCAGGCTGCGCTTTTCTTTAGGATGATGGTGAATAGAACTGAAGTCAAAATGGAACTGACTTTAAAATGGCGTTGCCTTATTTTATATCTCTGAATTGTTTTAAGTTTCAGTAAACGGGATAGGACACTTTAAGTCAACACCAGATTCTCCTGCGGCAGCCGAAAGCTCTGATTGGTTGGAGCAATGTGTCATGCGTTTCTATGGAGATGAGAATCAGTCTGTCTGTGTAATAGTCCTGTTTTCATTAAACATAAATCATGACATCAGGACCAGAGAAAGTCGGTACCCTTGGTCATCTGCCGGAACTGAGTACCCCCGAGGCTGACAACATCCTCCAGACCTCCAGATCCACACAGAGGGTCGTTTGAACGGTGAGGTAGAACACAGATTGCGTCCGATGTTGTTCTCTCTAAGAAACCATCAGCTAGCTGCAAAACCAACGTTTCACCCAGAACGCGTTCTCCCTCTGAAAGGAAGCTTCTGAGATTTCATTCACGCATCCAAACCTCATCATTCCACTTAGTTTTCCATCCAGACACAGGGGTTGCTTTAATAACAAGTTTTAATATCAAAATTGTTGTTCAAATTTGTCATTTATAAATTGTTATTCATAAATTGTCTATTTTAAGTTGTCAGATTTGAAATTGTTAGTAATAAATTCTTAAATTTTTAAACCTGACTCTTCTTTGAATGAAACACAGAATGGTGTGCATTTTCAGTTATTGAATCAGCAAAGAACCTTATTAAGTCTTCTGTTTAATAAATAAACTTTTGCTATTAATTTAAACATTGTGGTTCTTTTGCCTTATCAAAACACAAGAGACTGACAGCGTGTCCAAACACAGCGAGGGGCATTTATTTACACAATCAATACATCAATACATCACCAGTAACTTGGGGACAGCGCCCAGCCTGGAACTGAGTGAGCCTCCGGCTGGATCTTTAGCAAAAGCCCTCCTGCCACGAAGATGCAGGCTTATTTTATACTGCTACTCCCACAGTCCTTTGAGAGAGGATGGGGTGATGTTTTACACTTCCCAATATGGTCAACGCACCCTCCAGCCCAGAGGTCGACCAGCCCTGTTATCCCGACAGGATTCTGAGGGCTCAAGGTCCACTGGAGCTGGTTTACACAAGCTGGACATGTTAATCCTCACGTACACAGAACACAGCTTTCTCAGCAAGCTTTTAACCTAAGGACTCATAATTCAACTCAATATATGTTGTAGATGACCTCTTGACCTTTTTGGCTACAACAACATCTTAAATTAAATATTAATCCATAGATTAAATATAAACCAAGCTCGTTGGTGTATGAACTTCTATCGATTATATTAATATCCTAGATGTTTATATATGATAGAAGCTTCATATGTTAACTTGTTTGTCTTTCTCAGAATCTAACAAAGCTGATAGCAACAGCGTTAGTTCTAGTATGTAGATTAACCCTACACACGTGTGAACCATGTGCACAAACACATTCAGTGCAAACACACACGTGCACACATGTGGTTAAATGTCTTAAATTAAATTGTGTGCATTTATCTTATAGTACAAGCAGTAGAGTTGCTATCATCTGTAATATGTTTTAATGGTGGGCTGGTTTGATTGATATGTGTGATAGGCTGGCCGATCAACTGGTTGAGACACCAACCAGTCCTGCTACATCTACATACAAACAGTCCAAAGAACTGGGTGTGAGCGTAGCCTCTGTGTGGCCCTCCCAGATGGTCTGTTACACATACGTTTCTGGTTCTGATCAAGCAGCCAAGCAGTCAACAATATTTACATACAAACAGTCCCAAGTCAATATATACGTCTGTGGTACCAAGAACTGGGTGTGAGTGTAGCCTCATTGTGGTCCCCCACAACATGATGAACACGAGCTTTAAAAACTCTGGACATCTCCTGTGATTTAGATTCATCATATATTTCCCCCAGTTTCAGCTGAGTGTCTCATTTAGTAACAAAACATGATTGTGAACTCTCTCTCAAGTCAAGTTTATTATATAGCCCATTTCATACACAAAACGGTAGCCCAATGTGCTTCACATAGTTAAAACAATCACAAGTGAAATGAAATAGTTAAAATGTCACATCATGTTGTGTAAAATAAAATCAAAGAATATTGACACAGAACACAGCACACAAAAATAAAAGCATATTAAGTACAATTATTGGTAGCACTTTCTTTTACAGTCCTCTATTTAATTAGTACTTACATGGTAATTACTTAGTAAGTTAGTGTATTATTGTTTCTGAGTTCTTAAATTGTTATTACTATGTAACTCAGGTTCAATTCTAGTTTTAATTTTTATTAATCATTCCTAGTACATACTGCTTTACACAGTAACTACACCAGGGTTTCCCTTACATAGGCGTAGCCGTGGCGGCGGCTGACATCCCACCGCCACGCCTACAAGATCCCAAGTTTTGATTTTTTTTTTGAGCTGTTTCCAGAGGAAGCAGAGGGAACTACTATGTTGTCGCTTGTGATCACAGCCGGCAGGCAGCAAGGAGGAGCAGGCAGGGCAGGGTGAAGTTACAGCATAAAGGTAGCAGTGGATATAATGCTTTTTGGTTTACATGTTTCAATAGCATTAAGATAAATGAGTGTTGACGATCTTGACAGGGTTTCCTCTCCCCACCAGGATAAGCATCACTTATTCATTTAAAATTTATTTTATTTTTTCATGTCTGACTTTAACCGCATCTAATACTGTATTACGATGTGAGCGCAACAGCAACAACTTAAGATCGATGTGTGAGCAGCCTGAGAGGTTGGGTGTTTTCATCTGAAGCCTTAAAACCTCCAGCAGGCTATGCTGCACTATTGACGTGTTAGCGCGCGATGCTAACAACTTAGCGACGTGACATGTCTCGGAGAAAGCGTAAAAACACGTTGAACGCTTCTTCTGAAGCGGGAAAATAACACCTCTTCAAGCAGAGCACGACGTCGCCTCAGCTCGTTCACGGCCGAGCCGGACTGAGCTCGATAACATTGACCCAGCACAGCCACTGGGTCGTTGGAGCTGCCCCGTGACTGCCTGATGGAAAACCAGCGGGTTTCATCAGGCTCGTAAAGTTTGTTTTTGCTGGGGACCCCCTGTATTTTACTGCTCCCTCCCGCAGTCTTCCCCTATTAACATTTAAAATGATTCTGTAAATTCCGTGTATCAATAGAAAAAATCTCTGCCAGCTGCAGTAAATGTAGTCTCCAAATAATAAATAAGAGGTGCATTCATCTGTGGATCTCCTTTGATCCGCATTAGTGATGTTCTCAGCACCAGAACAGTGAAGCAAAGAAACAGATTCCTGAGTTTGTTATAATTTTATTTATTAGGTGCATCTAACCTGTTCTATTTTTCTCTGAAATGAGATCCAATCAGTGCTTCTATGGGTTGTCTCCACTCTGCACTAGAAAATTTTATTTTATTTAGAGACGAGCGGAGAAAAAAAACCTACAAGATGCAGAAAAAAAGGATAAACCTCCAACCTTCATATTGTCAGCAATAAACGCAGCAAAACTTAACTTTCATGACCAAAAAAAACCCCCCATAAAAATTATTCAGTACATCAGGAGAGCAGGAACAAGTCTTATTTCTGATTTTACATTTTTTACTTCAATTCAAACTATTTAGACTTTTGTGTTTTCATCACATTTAGCTTGTATTTTATTTAATACAATAGATGCAATAGATCATTCAGCCCTAGTGGATGCTTAGATGATTGTTTAAAGTTTTCTTTCAGCGAAATCTTCGTCCACAGAGCTCACAAGCAAAAGGCTTCTGTCCTTTATGGACTCTTTTGTGACCGTTTAAACTGATCTTTTGGGTAAAACTTTTCCACCGAACTCACAGGCGAAAAGCCAGTGTGGACTCTCATGTGACTGTTTAATTGTGTCTTTTGGCTAAATCTTTTTACACAGAGCTCACAAGGAAAGGGCTTCTCTCCTGTGTGGACTTTCATGTGTGTGGTTAAAGTTGACTTTTGGCTAAATCTTTGTCCACAGAGCTCACAAGCAAAAGGCATCTTTCCTGTGTGGACTCTCATGTGTCTGTTTAAATGTGTCTTTCGGCTAAATCTTGTTCCACAGAGCTCACAAGCAAAAGGCTTCTGTCCAGTGTGGACTCTCATGTGTCTGTTTAAACTTCCCTTTTCACTAAATCTATTACCACAGAGCTCACAGACGAAAGGCTTCTCTCCAGTGTGGACTCTCATGTGTGTGGTTAAAGTTGACTTTCGGCTAAATCTTAGTCCACAGAGCTCACAAGCAAAAGGCTTCTGTCCAGTGTGGACTCTCATGTGTTTGTTTAAACTTCCCTTTTCACTAAATCTATTACCACAGAGCTCACAGGCGAAAGGCTTCTCTCCAGTGTGGACTCTCATGTGTGTGGTTAAAGTTGAGTTTTGGCTAAATCTTTGTCCACAGAGCTCACAAGCAAAAGGCATCTGTCCTGTGTGGACTGTCATGTGTGTGTTTAAAGTTGACTTTAAGCTAAATTTCTTTCCACAGAGCTCACAAGTAAAGGGCTTCAGTCCTGTGTGGACGCTCATGTGTTTGTTTAAATTTGTCTTTTCGCTAAATCTCGTTCCACAGAGCTCACAAGGAAAGGGCTTATCTCCTGTGTGGACTCTCATGTGACTGTTTAAATGAGTATTTTGGCTAAATCTCGTTCCACAGAGCTCACAAGGAAAGGGCTTATCTTTTGTGTGGACTCTCATATGTCTGTTTAAAGTTGACTTTAAGCTAAATTTCTTTCCACAGAGCTCACAAGGAAAGGGCTTCAGTCCAGTGTGGACTCTCATGTGTGTGTTTAAAGTTGACTTTAAGCTAAATCTCGTTCCACAGAGCACACAAGCAAAAGGCTTCTGTCCTGTGTGGACTCTCATGTGACTGTTTAAATTTGTCTTTTGGCTAAATCTCGTTCCACAGAGCTCACAAGGAAAGGGCTTATCTCTTGTGTGGACTCTCATATGTCTGTTTAAAGTTGACTTTAAGCTAAATCTCGTTCCACAGAGCTCACAAGAAAAAGGTTTCTGTCCTGTGTGGACTCTCATGTGTGTGGTTAAATTAGTCTTTTGGCGAAACTTTTGTCCACAGTGCTCACAGGCAAAATGTTTCTGCTTTGTCTGGACTCTCGTGTGTTTGTTTAAATGTATTTTTTGGCTAAAGGATTGAAACCTGGCAGCATCAGTCTCCTTATTCAAATGGAGATGCTCTCCCTCCATACTAGACCAGAGTTTCTCCTGTTCCTCCTTTTTGTGGAGAAAATCAAGGTGCTGGTGGTTGACACGAGCACTCTGTTCTTCTGAAGCTTCTTATTTAACCAGAACCACCTGTTGAAAATCTGTAGGGAAAACAGAAACATATTATGTGAATTACAGACAGCTGTAACTGTGTTTTCATACATATAACAGTTGTATTATTTCTTTAAACTGACAGTAGAATGAAATGTATTTACAACTGGAAACTGAACTTTGAGCCTCTATAAATCATATGAGCCTTAACCTTCAGGCTTCACTTTAATTTTCATACAAGAGTCATTAGAGGACAAAACCGCCCGCTTGTAAAAGTGGCTATAAAAATGTTGTAACGTGAGGAAATATGGGTTTCTATCACAAAGGTGGTGCTGGACGCAGCTAGGTCAAAGCTGGGTCATTGAGAACTTTCACCCACAGATTAAGTCCTGAACGCCAGCGAGTCTGGGAGGAAACCATAACATCAACCACCTGCAGTCTACCAGAAGATGTGTTTACATGAGTTGTACCCAGACCAAGTCAAAACATAAAGTTTAAACTTCTGTTTCTTGATTTTAATGTTAAAAATAACCATTATCATTTTGCTCATTATAAATGTGTTTAATCAAATGAATGGTTCTTATGCTTTGGGGTAATTATAATGGATTAATGAATCCACACTTAAGTAGAGAATGTTGAATGTTTGGTACTGACCTTCACACTCAAGCACACAAACATTCACACACACCCACACACACCTTCCCACAGTAAAATCCAGACACATTTGATGACGTACATGTTTTGCTTTGAGAAGAGAGAGTTTTTTGGTAAGTTTCAGTTTTTTGATTCAGTCGAGAGTTCGTGCTTGACAACGAAAGAGAGAAGACGTGTGAATAACCGCTAACGGGGAACGGAGCCATGGGCTCAATTCCCCCCCCTTCTCTCACGCTGTTTCTGCCACGCCAGGCAGAATAGCTGAATCGCAACTTCTAACGCAGACTCATTGCTGAGTCTTTTGATTTCTGAGTGAATTAACTTAAGAAAGCGCGTCGACAAAACGCTTTACCATCAACGTGTACCGAGGGGCAACTCTGGACCGGGTCCGATCGACACCTACGTCTCCTGTCAGCCGTCGGCGTCATCCGGATGAACCACAACATCCTCCACGGCCCGGATCCGAAAGAGGGTCCACAAGAATTCGGTGAGACAGAACACGGTGTTTAGCGTTTGATGCATCTTTTCCAACTAAAAGCCTAAGTTTATTCAAACCATCACTTCACTCAGACACCTGTTTCTTCCTGAAGCAAAATCAGATGCACACATGCATTCATCTCATCTCATGTTCAATTCTCACTACACTTGGCACCCACACGCATCCATAATCACATCATATCACTCTCAATCTTCATTCACCTACAGAAGGTCTATTTGAGCATTAACAGCATATCAACTGTTAAAGAGATTGTCCCACCAAGTTATCAATGTTGATTGTATTTCCTGTTTGTCAATTTCAAAATCATTAGTTTAATTCGAAGAATTAAAACTTTTAAACGTCAAACTGGTTTCCTCATTGAACTGAAACACAGACACTCAGATATTATCGGCAGTTTATGGATGAAAACAACCTTTGAGTCTTCTTAACAATAAAACTGAGTAAAGACAGTTTCTCCTTACAATATGACCAGCCAGCCAGTTTTACAATATAACTGAGCCAGTCAAATATTAACTATTACTTAACTTGATGACACAGGGTAAAACAAGGAATTGTTGACAGAGAAATGAATATACACAAATTCACAAGATGGAAGGAAAAGGCATGGATCTGAGCGACGGAGGCTGTGAAAGCCGACCCGTTCAGCGGTCCAAAATAAAAAATAAAAAAAAATAATAAACCCTACGCTGCCGTGTTGGTATCAGACGGACAAACGCAGCAAAATGTAGATTCTACACACCGCAGTGTTTTACAAGAATCACCGCCAATGCGGGTTTTGTGAGGACACAGACTGACTGTGTCAGAAATGGTATGACAATTTAACGGGACGCGTTCCCGTTTGTCTAACTGTGGCTCTAGCCTAGCTCTCCGGCCAGCTTAGCTCTTCCCGTCTGTAGCGACCAGACTTAAATTGTCCCGATTAACAAGTAGGCATCTCGCTCCACTCTGCTAACGGACTTTAAAAAGCGTACGCAATCTGTATGCAGTAACGCGTGACGGCCATGCTTCGCTCCAGTCATTTCAATGGCGAGCGTATCCAGACTTCTATATCTGCGATTTATCTGATTTCTTATACATTCATGTTTTTTTTTTTGTTTTACTTTTTTTTCATAGATCTGTTGAACAACTTCAGCCCTGCTCAAACATAAAAAGAATTCAATCATTTTGAGGCTTCTAACCCCTGAAATGCCAGTTTGAATACTCAAAAGGCATTGCTGTAATTTATGAAGAAAAAAAAACAGCACAGAGTTATTTTCTAAAAAAACAGGTAACGAAACCGTTTCTGTGTTTTAAAAAGAACGACAGCATGGAATTAGCCTTGGATATGTCAAGAGTCTAGCAAAATATCACATTTTATGCTTTTTTAGTTTTTGTGTAGCAGCAGATTTAAAATTTACCACCCTCTTGTGCCTGTTATGGACAAAAACGTCCCATTGACTTCAATGCAAACCACAGTTTTTGATCCTGTATTATCTGCAGTAAATATTCATGCTTTCTGTGATGTAATGGTTTCATTTTGGACAAAAGTAGTCAAATTTATGATTTTTCAGTCATTTCTTCATATGCTGCCCAGGGGAGAAAGTTTACACATTTCTATAGATCTTCTGCTGTTTTTATTGAAGTCAGAAGCTCAGCATGTAAACAAAACACAGTTTCACTCTCCTACTGAACATCAAAGGGTAGAAAACAAAAACAATATGTTTATGCACCTGGCTGGAGCTCAGGCACATCCAAACTCTTTGTAGTTCAGTTTGTTATGAAAGGGCAGAAGTGTGAATGCATGCATTTGAAGTGACTCCTTGGAGCTCTTCGGTCATCTCCAAAATGACACGTTTTCCCTGGCCGACCTCTGCAGCCTCACCAGCAGCTTTCTCTGTGTTAACCTGACACTTGCAGGCATAGGAAGAGGCAACATCAGCAGTGACCCAGAGTTTCAATCCGTACTTTGCTGGTTTACTTGGCATATGTTGGCGAAACTTGCACCTGCCTCTGAAAGGGACAAGCTGCTCATCAGCACACACATCTAACCCAGTGTTGAAAAGCATTTGGAGGTGATGGGTCCACATGTCCCAAATCGAGCGGATAGGGGCCAGCTTGTCCTGCCTGAGACGGGAAGGCCTGTTCAGCTCATCATCAAACCGGAGGGTGGAGTTGATCATCTTGAATTTGGTGTGACTCATGGTGGCCAGGAAGTTTGCATGTCCACAGTGGTCATCCCAAAGGCTGCAGGTGGAATCCCCTTTGGACTGGTACACACCAGCCAAAATCAGGAGCCCAATGTATGCTCTCACTGCGATGTCATCAATATCCCACCAGTTCTATTTCGTCTAGTCTTAGCCCTTAAGCTAGCTGCTATTGGAAGGATGATCTCCGCATCAGCCAATCATGAAGAGCTTAAATGTACGCCCACCAATAGTGGGCCCCCTCGTGGTATATAACCGCAGTGACCCCACTGCTCACCTCCTTTTTCTCTTCATGCCAAGCTTGAGAGCTTTATTAAAGAGCAAATATTATCCCAAAAGAGCAAAATTATCCGAAGACGACTAACCAGCCATGTCCAGCGACGCCAGACCCTGCCCGACCTGCCAGACGGGCTCCATTTCCAGCGGCGACCTGCACGCTAAGTGTGAGGTCTGTCTCGGGGCTCACCACGCTGGCCTGGCCTTGACCCCGCAGGCCTCGTGCCCGTTCTGTGCCGCTCTGCCCGTGGTGGAGAAGATTCGCCGGGTCGAGTACTTCACTCCTGCCGCCGACGAAGAATTTCCGGTGGCTGACTCGTACCCGCTGGACAAGGCTTTGGTTTTCTTCGACGCCGGTCAGGAGCCGGCTGGCTTCAACTGGCTGGATGGCGTCACCGACAGCGAAAACTACGATGAGGCGGCATCCCTCCTAGACATAACGGAGGTCGACGAGCTTCGCTCAGTGGGTCCTTCTGCCCCAGTGGCTTCTCGCTCCTCCCATCCAGCAGTAAGAGCACTGCTCCAGGAGCTGCCCACCATCATTTCTGCGGCAGCAGCCCGCAAGGGGCTAGCTGTGCCAGAACCGGCCCCGCCTGAGGCGGATGATTTGGCGGGAATTTTCGGGGCAACTCAGACACGCTGTCCAGACCCTAACTTGCCGCGCTTCCCCGCTGCTATGAGCTGCTGGTCTGCCGCCTTCTCCGAGCCTGCCAAGCTCAAGGCGCCAGTCTCCACGTATGCGCCCATCACCAAGGTCGAGGGGTTTTCCGACCAAGGCTGGCCGTCCGTTCCTCCGCTAGAGCCGGACTTGGCCTCGCTGTTCGGCGCCAAGAACCACCTCGCTGGCCCGCGAGCTGTTCCCGCTACAAAACATGACCAGCTGCTGACGCGGCTCACCGACCGCGCACATCAGTGTGCCTTTCAGACCGGCGCTGCAGGGAATAACATCGCCCTTCTTGCCTTCGGCGTCTCCAAGATGATGGAGGAGCTGGAAGCTCCCGAGGAGTCGAAAGCCGTCATTACTAAGACTGCTGATGCTATCCTCAATCTGTGTGCTGCTGTGCTCACCGGTTCTGCTCGCATTGCTGCCTGGCAGACCCTCATCCAGCGAGCGATCTGGCTGAAGGCCCTGCCCTCCATTCCGGAACATCTGCAAAGGGAGATGCTGGACGGGCCCCATCACCACCGATGTTCTGTTTGGTCCCCATCTTAGGGGCGTCATTGAGAGGGCTCAGAAGACGGCCGAACTATCGGCTACGGTGCGAGACCTGGTCCACCCTCGGTCAGCCTCGCACTCCGGCCGTTCAGCCAGAGGATGGGACGAACGGCGCGGAAGCTTCAGGCGTCCAGCTGCACCGACCGCTCCACGGAGCCGGCCTCCCGCTTCGGCTCCACATCAGCGGGACCAGCGAGATGGCGGACAACGGTTCCGGCGGGGCCAGCAGACGCCGTCTTGGCAGTCCCAGGTGCAGGAGCCTCGCCGAAAGCAGCCACGGAAGTGACTCTTTGGGGGGAATGTGT